ATAATTAGCAAAGTTAAAATCTAAATAAATGAATAAACATTTAATTATAGGACAAGGTTAAGCTCTGGCGTTCTTTTTAATGGCAAAACCCACGGGTAAAAGGAAGTCAAAATAATGAAAGACCAGACCCACCTCTTCCATGCTCTGTGTGCTCAGCTAATTTGTATGATACATCTTGGTTTTAATGACTTCATTCGCGTATCCACCGACTTAGACACTCGATTTCATCTCCCAGATGCATCTCTAATCAGCAATTGTGGCTAAGAATCTGCTCCCCACATGACACAACCAATTAATTTCCAGATGCCATATGCAAGCCCAATGGAGCTGCATGTAGGAAAACTCAACTCAACTGTGATTCCAGTTTTTTATTTCCATTTTTTTTTGCTGCTCAACCAATCTGCCGCTCTAATAGAGATCTTGGCTAGGCACCCCCGCATAGAGACAGTCGCTCAGTTAGTCAGTCTCTCAGTCAGTCATTCAATCAGTGAGTCAGTCAGTCAGTCAGTCAGTCAGGCATTCAGTTAGCAGGCGGGGGAAATGGATTTACCACGCGGAAAGTTGCAAGTTAACATGGCTGCACATTTTGCCAACGGGATGCATGCAACTTGCAACATGAGCACAACATTGCCATCGCCAGCAACATCGTCGTGCATGCAACACTTACCAGCAAACAAAATTAAAGGCAAATCGCAACCAATCACAAAGATTACCCCCCACACACACACACACACACAAAACAACAAAATGGCCAAGACCATACATAAACGTGGCCCAAAGGCGCCGTTGCATTGGTATTTTAAACACTGCCAAGGCGCATAATCAAAACGCTTAAATTATAATAACTTTATTAAGTCTCGACTTGGGCAGCGATCCACCCGCGCCCTTTTTTTTTCCTAGATCTAAAGAAACAACAACAAAAATACAGGTGTAGTGCAGGAAGAAAGCAAAAACAAAACACCAAACAACAACAAACAAATGGCAAAACAGGTAAAAAACGAAAAACAAAAAAAAAGAAGTCCGAAAGCGATTGTCTGCTGGGTGCTTTTATTATTTCTTTCGAGTGGATTTTGGCCTGAACACACTCGAAGCATTGTTGCTGGAGCTTGCTGCCTGCTGCCTGCTGTTTATGATTGTTTTTTCATTTTCTCAAGTGATGAGTAGGATATCTGTCTGTCTGTCTGTCTGTCTGCTGTTGTGGCCAACAGAATCGGGCAACAAGCCATTTGCGACTCACGACTTTTCATGCAATTTTGAATTTAAAATTCTTCACACACTCTTTTCATTATGTGGCTTCTCGTTCCTCGTTCAGCTCCTCCAGATAGATCCCCCTCATTCCCAAACAGAAAATCCCCTTCTAGGGTAAAAATCAACGGCCCGCCATCGAAGACCAAGTCGAAGGCAACGCAAAATAAGATGCTACTCTTGTGGCCATCTTTGAAGTGGTTGTTGTAATGGGTGTAAGTCTGCAAGTGTGTGTGTGTGTGTTAGCCATGTATGTGTGCCAGTGTTGAACCACCAAAGGAAGACGCCTCACAATCACGCGCCATTCAAGTTTGGATTGTCGCTCCAGAAACAATCACAGTGGTGGCAAGAAGAAGGCCAACAAAATGAGTTAAGGAAAAACTTAATTAAGCCAAAAAAAATCTTAAGATCAAGGACTTTGAATCCTTATCACTGCTATGCAGATAACATTGTTAATAGTTTACCTAATTATTTAGCCAAAGTTCCCTTTCTAACTCTTTCATTTACCCATTTCCCACGACCAAACCACTGTGCATCTTATGAAATTTGGTCTTAATGCCAGTGCAACTGGCCAAGACAGCATTCGCGATGACGATGACTGGACGCTTAGCTTGGCTCAGTGGATCTTTGGGTCTTAGCTTCCAAGTCTGGTCGTCGGCTCAGCTGCTGATGATGACTTCGAGCTGGTCTTGGAGGGATTTCGAGGGAATGAACGAACCGTTGCCGCCGCCGTTGCTGCTGCCACTTGGTGGTCCAATTCAACGAATTGACTATAATCAGTCTAGTGCCAAGTACGTTTCAAGTGTCTACTCATGCACTTCTGTGTAGCGTGTGGTGGGCAACGCCAAGAGCCAAAGAGTCCGTATAGCCCATGAGTTTGAAGAGCTCAGAGCCAAGAGCCCAGAGGGCCTTTATAGCTGAGAGCCAAAGAGGTGCAGCCCGCGTATGCCGGCCGGCTAAACTAAGTTGGCTGGTGACTTGGTCGACCGGCAAGTTCCAAGTGGTTTGCTCTCGTATGCAAATGGGTGCTCCCGCTCCCGATCCTAAAACCCAATCCAGCCACTCGACACAGCTCTCACGAGTGCCGCGGCGCACAAAATTAATTTATTACAATGCAACAAATTACAACACTCATTAATATTTTAGCCAAGTTCTCCGTGTGTGTGCACGGAAAGAAATCAGGGGAAAGTTTGTGATTGAAAGATCAGGATTAAGCAGATTACTAGATTATAAAAGCCAACTTATTGATCTAAGAAGTTTACCACTTAGACCGCATTAAGGTATAGTATTTGGCCAACTTATTTCTCCCAGTGCACATTGCGTAGTTGGTCAGAAGTTGTAACATGTGACTGGTCTGGAATTTTATTCGCCGACAGCAGGTCCAAGGAAGCTTGTAACCTGCATGTTGACTGGTTTACTAAAAACAAAAAAAAGTAAAGAAGTGAAGGGCGTGGCGACGTCTGGGATTGCAAGTCTCATACCTAATAAATCTGTAATTTGTAATTAATGTGAAAAATTGCCGCCCGAGACGGAGAACAAGCCTAAATTGTTATTATATGGCCGTTGTCCAAGTTCCAGTCTGAGCCCGACTCTGGGTCAGAGTCATAACTCTTCCAAAAGTTAGCCAGAATGTGTGTGTGTTTGTAGGTTTCATAAATATAAATTAAGCCACTTGACTAACGCACAAAGCGTGTTCAAAAGTCTCTCCGCCAAGCAGGCCAAAAAAAAAGTGAAAACTTGGTCAACCGATTTACTTTGCCAAAAAAACAAGCAGGCCAAAACCTGAAAAAAAACACCTTTTTTATTGCACTTACCGTAGCAGGTCGCTTAGATGGCCCCAAGATGATGGCACATGGCTCCATTGTCTGCTGAAAGCAACTCATGCGGTGTGATTAATATGGAAGGTGGCCAAAATAAGGAAGAAGCGGCTGGCCAACAAGATAAAAATACATTTGAGAAATAGTTATTTATAAGCAGAAAGGCAACTCAATCAAGGGAGTGGTTGAGGGGGGGATACAAAGAGCTGCAGTTCATAAAAAACATATTAGAAGTAAGAATATTAAGATTAAGATTAAGATTGATCTGTGATAGACAAACTTGTAAACAAAGATCAGGCTAAAACATCTTTTATAACCTCTTTTTCAAGTGAAAATTCTTCACCAAAACTGCAGGGACTCCTCTCCAAAGTAAACATTTTCCTATTTCCCAAGAGTTCCTCATTCTTTGTTTTTCGATATTTCAAGAGTTCTTGAAAACAGTTTGCTTTGATGTTTTCTAAATTTAGGGCCCAGACTCTGGGCAAACAACACACATCTGGAACATAATTCGGCCATTAAGTAAAAAACAATCAAAATGCTTTAAAGGTCCCGCGTGACAGCGAATCGGCGGGCATGATTGATAATATTCGAAAGTTGCAAACTTAGAAAATGCGAGCATATATAATGTATCTGGTCATATTGGCGATATATAACCCCCGATAACCCTGCTACGATTCGATGCGGATCGACCAGCGGGGGCAGTTCAATTGCTACCCGGTCAGTTAACCATTTTTTTGGCCAAAAGGTAAAGCAGTTGAGTGAGTGATTCAATGGAGCAAAACGTGAGCTAAAGACGTGATTCATAAACAACAACAACCAAAAGCGTTTATACGCCTGATGAGCGAAACTGTGGGGCGGTCGAAGTGGTCAAAATGGTCGGCCTTTTGAAACGATATAACAATTTTTGGTTATTCACTTGTGATATTTGATTTTTTTCCCAACGAATCAATCACAATGATTATGATAAATGATTTCGGCGTTTTTCTATTTATTCACTATTTTCCCTCAAAGTTTCATTGTCTGAATGGTTTTTTTATATCTATCAAACTTTTTCGGTTATGTATTTCGACTTTTTTTTGCATTATTAAGCCGGATAATGGGCGATCAGTGAGCTGAGCTTGTAATTGCTGGCTTATAAATCACAGTGAAAAGATATAATTTTGCTTTTCGATGATCTCTTGGCCGTTGGCCGACTCTTTGATTAGCACATTTGTCTGCGAGTTTCACTTTTAACGTACGAAAACCATTGACCCATTGAACTACAAATACTTGAAGATTTCTCATTCTTTAACAGCTCAACTTTAATGCTGATTTATTTTTTTTATTTTTATCAGCAATTTTTAATCTTGTTAGGAAACTTCATTAGTGTCAACCGGCAGTTTTCTTAGGCTGATTAATGTGTGTCAGGCAGGAGGCAGTAAGGGGGAACTTTTCGGTAGCTTAGGTGGGAAAAACCTGTCTGCCAGCCATGGAAAACTCTGCCTCAATGTGGCCACGCCTCTTCTGTGTCGGTCAGCGGCATTAAGTCTTTATTGTGGAATTATTAATTGGGGCGGACATTTGGGGGTGTGCATAGTAATGAGCTGGGCTTGTGTAAATAAAATAATAAGGATAAGAGTTTCGGGAAAAACAACTTTCAAAGTACAGTTAGTGATGGAGAGATTATCTAATGAATTTATGGAAAATTAACCAGAAATTATGAATCAATGAAAAGTTGTTACCTAATCTATATAATAAACTATATTTGCAAAAATATATTTTTGCCATAATTTCTGTATCACTGTATCAACTAACAAGATCAGGTTGCTAACCAGTTTTGGCCACCAAATTTGACAACATTTGCCAATATTTATGAATTACTTATGGTGACTTTATTTTATAAAACCAATGACTTGTTTTGGCCAACTTTAGTTAACAAGTTTCTCAACTCAATTACAGACTTGCCCAGACGCAATCCAGGTCCAGATCCAAAATCCAGATCAATGTGGCCGGAGCCCACCGACTGAGGTCCGCCCGAAGGTAGAAAATGGTGGACATTTACCAGGATGCCAGCAGTACGCTGCGCTCTGTCTTTCCCAACTCACGGCTGGATTCGTTGGCCGGAGTGGAACGCCGGATGGAGAGTCAACTGCCAGGACCAACAGATCCGGATGCAGTCACCACACCCACAAGCATTGGCTATAATCCGTTGAACGACGAAGACTGGTGGGCCAATGCCATCGAGGTGGACACCTTCGATTCCCCGCTGGCCTTCGATGCCAGTGAGAATGGTTTGTGGAATGGACACTTTGTACCGCCACCGCCACGCCCGCCCTTCCTGGATGAAAGCGTCGCCGCCGATGGCCTGACCACCTGTGATCTGTGCACGTGGGCATGGCAACGGAATGCCTACTCCCTGGATGGTTCCATAGGTGAGTACTCCTCCTCCATAAAGGGTCTTTCCCTCTGCTCCTGTCGTTTTTCAATTAAAAACTCCTTGCCAAGACAATAATCTGGCGGCCGTGCATCGATCGCTGATATCAATTTATCAAACTGATGTTGGGCGTGCGTGGCTCGATTGCTTTTCGGCAAGCGAGATGGTGAGACTCCTCCTTAGCCGTCATATGCACTTAGAGAAAATGGGTGACAAAATTAGTCTATCTTCAATATGTCTGAAGCTGAGTCATGAAAAATCATAGAATTCTGTTTATAAGCTATCTTTTAATTTACATTAACTAATATTTGTAGTAAGCTTACAAAATGGTCACCTTAATTATCGATAAGATTCTGATAATCGATAAGCCGATGTTTGGCTAGGATAAGGTCATTTGTTGTTAAGAACTTTCGAATAGATTCATTCTTGGAAATAAAAAAAGAGGTTAGACCTAGAACAGGAAACAATCAATAATTTGACTTTTACATATTTTTCGTACAATATATTTTTTAAAATCCTTTTCCTCTCTGTACTTGCGCTTGCAAATTTAATTTGCACACATAACTCTTTGTGGCAGCTTTTGGCTTAGGCGTTGTTTGGCCAAAGTTTCGAGCCCGCGATCTTGGTATCCACCAGCACTATCGCCCCGGCACATCGCCAGTAATTTGTCTCTGCGCTCGTAAAAGAAACCAAGCGGGTAATGAGAGGGCGGAGGGGCTAGGGCGGCGGCTTAGACACGGAAAAGTTTATGAAAATATGAAGCAGTGGGCGTGGGCAACCACAGATGCGATTGATAGGATATATAGGATATAAGCCAGTGAGCTCTTTAATTTATCCAAAGAACAAATGAAGCAAGTCGAACGGTGAACTAAAAAGTCGATTGAGGGACGGAAATTCGAGGAAATGCAGAGCTAAATTAAAACACTAACTCCGCTAACTTCACATTAAAATCATTTACGTTAAATGCTAATTTCGCCTTACGGTGGAAAACCAGCCAGAACTCACCCCATAACCCAAATAGTACTCGTAATAGCCCAAAGCGAATGCCAAATGACCAGTGTCCATAGTTTTCTGATAGAGATGGGACCGTGAACGGAATTCCATTTACATCAGAAAACATTATTAATTAATACAAACTATTCCCGAATTTTGTTTTTTATTTTACATTTTTATAGTTTACATTCTATATCTAAAGAATTATCCTTAAATCTGTACTCTAAATCTGACATGCTTATTAGAACTTACTCCAGAGTTCCCCGTCACGAGCTCATCTCTAATACATAATCCGCACTGTGGAATGGGCTGTGGCATGGCATTTAGCCGTTTGCCGTATTTGATTTCCAGGAATCGCTTTCAGGGCAAATTGAAGTCATTATACATAGTAAAACTCCACTGAGCCGAGGTTCGAGGTCCGGACTCCGGACTCCAAAACGCAGCCTGCGATGGTTGCCTTGCGTTATTAGCCTAATTATAGAGCTGGAATGGAGCTAGTGGCGAAACATTTCAGCTTTTCAGTATATAGTATAGTATATACTATAAATGACTTTATTCATGCCGACTGGGGCGACTGTTTGTCGCGCCGAATGTCTGGGATTTCCTGTGGCCCCAAACGACGTGTCAACTAATTTGCAACACTCACCTGGACGTGGGGCAGCACTTCCATGGAAGTACCTGCGGCAGCCTTTGGCAAATATTTTTTAGATTTTTTTTTTGGCGAAGGGATTAAGCTCGCCGCTCTGAGAAGAGCCGCAGCAGTAGACGAAAAAAAAATTTGACTAATGTCTTAATTTTGTAGCTTAGGTATTTGGCTGCGGTTCGTTTCGGTTTATGTTTTTTTGTTAGAGTCCAGTCAGTCATATCGGTTATGGTGGTACACTACACTATGAATATACTCCCTGAAAACCCGAAAAAAAAAGATTTACAATATAAAAAGCGGAAAAGTCGTGCCTGGACTGCAGCGAATGCCATTCACTTCGCTTCATCTCGTCGGGTCTGTAAATTGAGTTTTTGCATGTCGTGCCCATGTCTGGGGACTTTGCTTTGTTTCTGCGGCTGTTTCGGTTTCGGTTCTCTGCCGCAGAATTGACAGCTGAATAAAATGTTATTATATTTACACCATAATTTGCATGGCAATTAATCAAATGGCATGCGAAATTCGACAATGGCCCACGGAAAGGTAAAGGCAATCCCAAACGACACATTTATTTTCTATGTGTGTGTTAGGTGGGGGTGCTGAGGTATTTTCTGGGAATTGTTCTAACAAAGTTTTCAAATCGAAAACAAAAAGCAAAGCAAAAAAGTTTCGACCCGCCTAAATGTCTTTATTAGGAGTTGCCTGTCTGAATATTCAGCTCGTTAGGGTGAGCAAATACGTTAGGTATGAGATTTGGGAAAAAAAGGAAGGCAGAACGACATTCTTTACTTTTGGAAACAGTTTGGTTTATGTGTAATACATATAAGAATATAAGAGAAGTTATAGAACAAATTATTCTACCTACATACATACATATGTACAAATCTGTGGGAATAGGTGGCATCCTTTTGCAAAGTTACCTATCACAGCTTAGATGTGCCCAGATGAGTGTTCAGAAAGTATACTGGAACGGGGAAATGAGTAGTTTAACTCGAGGAGCTGAGAACGAACGAAAAAGCGAGAATACGGTAAATACGACGACGCGAACGGGAAACGAAAAAAAAACAAAGTGACTATTATTATTTTCATAAAAAAATTCCATCATTTATAATAAAATAAAAATAGTGTGACTAATTAAACTTAGAAAACTATTCCAACATACATGTATGTATATTTAAAAATCTTTTAAAGTTGTCTATGTATTTATTCCTTTAATAATAACCGTAGGCAATGAATATATGACCCATTAAATCTAAAGAAAATAAGGAAACGTTTAGCTTGATCCCCTGCTGACTATCCCCGTTTATTACTAGCAACTTCCATTTATCGAACCCATTTTAATAATAGAACATTCCCGTTTTTATGGCACTTCCTGCCAACTTAAACCACTCGTTTAACCATTCTAGCCTCACATGTTTTTGCTTTATGGCGGATTAAGCTAACCGCTTGATTATTTCAACAAGATATTTTGTATAATTTATGCCCCACTTTATGCCTCCCGTCGCACCCATAAAAATACAAAAAAAAAAGAATAAAGGGTAACAATTCTATATCCCGCAAATATTTACAGCAATTTGTGGCACAATAATAAAAATGAAAGGTCTCTCAGAGCGAAGCCAAACCTAAAGGCAAAGCCAAACGAAAACCAAACCAAACCAAATGAAACCCAAAAAAGGACTCGTGTTTGACTTTTGTACGGCTGTTGAATAAATGTTTTATAGCAATAACAACGATATCAACAACATCGAGGGGCAAAATGACAAAGAACCCAGGGTCCGTTCAACAAACAACAGCAGCTGTTGAAGTCGACGGCTTCTTCCGCTTATTTTTGTGATATTTTTATTGTGCTGGTGAAATAAATTCAAATAAATAAATTTAAGTTGCTGACTTTGGTAGCAGTCCCCCCACTCTCAGTACTTCCCTCCTGGGTTACAACATAAATATTGAAGGACCATAGACGAAAACATTTATGGCCAGATTTATGCTAGCTCAACGGCAATTGGGAAAGTTATTTCCCAACAATAACAGGATTAGTAAAACATATGAAAGCTAGGAAAATTTGAGTGAGAGTAAGCAGCTTACGAACTTTAACAGGTTCTTAAATGTGATGAAAGTTAACATTTCTATTGGGCTAATAAAAAGTTTACCACATTTGCTAGTTGAACATAATAAAAGACCCTATTTGTTTAAAGCTCTTTTCAATAGTTTTTAAAGTAATCTATCAGCTGAGAGTTCCCATTTAAATGTGAATCCATCTTCTTCCATTTTTTGAAAATAAGAAATTTCCAACATTTTCCGCTCTGGCTGTGTTCACTGACCATTGGCCACTGCTCGTTAACGCCAAGCTTTCGGATGAAAATACATGACTAATCTGAAGATTATGAAATTTATGCAAAACCGCAAGAGACGTGATTCCTTTTTTTTTCGGCATCTGCTGGGAGAGATTCCAAGCTGTAAGCGGAAGTGAGTGATTTTTTTGTAGGGTTTTTTTTTATTTGTTTTTTTGCACTTCTTTTTTCCTTATTTGATGTGCTACCTCGCGGTCCGTTCTGTGTGCTCTGAGTCGTATAATTGTTGCAACGAACGCAATGTGGCCTGAAGCCATAAAAAATAAACATAACAGAAAAACACACACACACAAGCACAGAAGTGAGAAAACTTATTTGCTATTTTCATGGAATTTTCCATAATTTCTGCTTGGCTTGTTGTTGGAGTTTCCTTTTAGATTTTTGTGTGGTTTTCCCATTCCTTTACCCTTCCCTTCCTTGCCACAGTCATGCAAAAATGTTTTAAAAAGATAAACAAGAAATGGTCGGAAAGAGATCGAAAAATTATTATTACTGCCAGTGCATCAGGAAGATTATGATGGTACTGAAACTCACTCTGTGTGTTTGTCTTTTTTCTTTTTGTGTGTGGGATTTTTTTGTCCATAATATTTTTAACTTTGTTTACATTTTGCATTTTTATTGTGGCGTCGTCGTCGTGGACTTGCTGCTCCTCTCCCTTCCACAGTTCTTGCTGCTCTGCTTTTGTTCCTTTTTTTAATCAATTAGGGCGAGACTTGCGTAGGGGGAAGAATCGGAGTATCTGGGGCTGGAAAAATGAGATCCCAGATCCCCCGGCGAAACGTGCTGGACCACACACAATGCCTCATCAAGAACTTAAAAAATGCGGGCACAGAACTAATAGAATTGCTGAAATGCTGATTAAAATAGTTTTCACTTTTTAATTACAATTTATGGGATTAATTTCGAGGCATCATTCTCGAGACTACGTCTGAGGCAGTTTGTTACAGTGAAAGAAAGAAAATTTAAAAGACATTCCACATTTCGAATGAAAATGCTTAAAATCAAACAAATATTCTA